TAAATGTAAACTGTTTTAACTGAATAATGGTTTACTTCATTAAAAATATAAATATTTCTTAACTTATAATGTTCGTTAGAATTAAATGAATAATTTATAGTATTCCCATTTCATTAAGGAGTTCTTTTTTATGATAGTAAATATAAAAAAAAGGAAAAAATTTTGTTTGATAAAAAAAGCTACTTATTTGTTTAAAAATGAAAAGTTTCTTTATAACAAATGTAATTGTTTAAGCTAATAAATTTTTTAAGTTTTTGAAAGAATGTACATATGATATAAATATTTAAAGTTTAAAAAATGACGAAAATGTTTACAAATACAAAAGGAAGTTGATTATTGTTTATATAATTGTTAATATTAATGATAATTTTTAACTGTAAAATAGTTTTTTACTAAATTAGACATAAATTTAAACTTGTCTGCAAAAAAACCAATTTTTTTTATGAAGAAGGTCCGAAGTAATCTATTTGTTAATTAACATTGTTTGCAACAATTTAAATAAATTGTATTATGCTTTATTAATTGTCCAGTGGTCATACTAGACTAATTTAAATTGATTTCGATCATGTGTGATGGAAAAATAAAAAAACTAACATGATTTTTTCTAAAAATATTGTAATTTGTCAAATTTTTGAGTAACAAGAAAAAAATAAACAATTAAAAATTCAAAAATCGACTTTGATGGATCTCTTAGTAATTTTAAATCAAGAACATCAACATCCGATAAAATTTGTAGTTTCTAGAAAATTTTCAATAGTAAGTTCAAAAAAAATCCCACTGTTCATCGCGCTGGAGTGCGCGAGCGGACGGACAAATTTTACTTATTACACTATATCTTTGGCAAATTGTTTCGGCCCATTTTCAGACTTATATCTTCTTTTAGGGGAATTCCCAAGCTTTCATTTGAGATTATTAAAAAGAAAATAAAAACTACCGAACTTGCACAAAATTGCAAAAAACTATTTATTTTAAAAAATTTTTGCAAAAAATTTTTTTTTTTATTATATAAATAAAATATTTTAAAAGTACCCAAAAAAACCTTTCTAAAACACTACTTACTTTTTTTAATTGAATAATTTAAGTAGAAACTACAAATGTTTAAAGAATGCATGTTCGAGTTGAAGCTGAAATTTCAACCCCCCACCCTTTTGATTGGGGTGGGGGGTTGGACCTGTAAATTGGTGTAGTAACTTGTACCTACTAGGGTAACATATTTCCAAATTATAAAGGAAATCCAAGAACTTTTTTTTATTTTTGGGGCAGTTCAGGAATAATGCCTCTTTATTCTCTCCCGTTATCTCTTATTCTCTCTTATTATAGTGTTGTATTTGATAGAAATAATTTTCTTATTTATATTATAAGAAATATTATTGAAATTTCTGCTGTTTCTATATACCCTGAATTTACAGTTTTTAGGGGTAAATAGAAATAGTCTCCTATTTTTATTAAAGTTTTCAAAATAAAAAAATCAAAGTTGATTTTTGTTGTAGTATTAATAAGAGATAATTATAAATTTTAGTATTAATTTTTAGTTAATTTTTTTCCAAATGCGAGTCAACAAAGTGCAAGGATGTCTTCTTTGATTTTTAATTTTTTATGCAATAGGAAATATTTTTGTATGTAGAGTAGAAGGGGGTAATGTAGTGCATTATTTTTTTGTAAATGTAGATGGAACTTTTCTTTGTCCAAAAAACTGAAGGCACTTTTTTTTGACATTCTAAAATTTGTGAGGCAATGTAGTGCACCACTTTATTAGTGAAATAAAAAGCAGAGAATATATTATAAACGATTTTATTTTATTAGTTATAATATTAGGAACATAAGAAACTTAAAAACTATAAACTAGTAGTGATGCCCACGAGACGAGACTTTGCATGTAAAAACCGAGACGAGATCGAGACTTTGCATGGTATCATCTCGTCTCGTGGACAGGACTATAAACTATAGATTTCTTTGGTCCTGTGTTAAATAAAACTAAAAGAAAACTGCAAAAATTTACTAAAAGAAAACATGGTTAAATAATACATATTTACGGTACTCTGTATAATTGCACTACAATGCCCCCAAGCACTTTCTTCACGTTTACTTCAATATCTCAATAAAAACAAAATTAAGCGTCAAAATTATATGGAAAAATCACTTTCCTGATACTTTTTTAACGAGCCTTACATTTTCTTCAAGTAACTAAAAAACGGAAATATGGTTTTAAAATCTAGTGTTTTTGAAGTGACGCCACAACTTCTTTTAGAAGAAACACAATCAAGCCAAAAAGCCATTAATATACTTTGATACTTTAAACCTACCATACAAACGGCAAGTAATTAAATTCATTCGTTTAGTCGGTAAAGCCAGTGCACTACATTACCCCCCTCTACTCTACTGCTGCTAATTGACAAACGGAAAAAGGAAAAATACTTAGAACTTGTTGGGGGTGAAATAAGCTTCAAGATGTAAGGCTGTATTTATTTTAAAAATTTTTTATTTAACTGAAATAACTACTGTTTCGATTTACCCCTTGTTTCTATTTACCCCATCTGACCGTACATCCTTATGTATGACTTAAATGACGGATCCAATATGATGAAAAAGAAAATTTTTTTATTTAAATTTTTTTTGCTTAATTCTTTTTTTCGTCTACCATATTGCATCCGCCATTTTTAATTTTGAAAAAATGATGTCATATTCGTAATCAGCGACCCCAAAAACCTCTCCGTAACGGTTTTCAAGCAAATCCAATGATTTTGAAAAAAAATGTGCGACATATTAGATCTGCCATTTTAAATTTTAAAAATCTGATTCCATATTCGTAATTAGCGACCTCAAAAACTCCCAAGTAACGATTTTAAAGGAAACCCGATGATTTTTTTTTAAAATTTCGAAACTTATGAAGAAAAACTTTAAATGCGTTCTTCTCAAAATGTTTTTTTTGATCTGGTAAGAGTGATATCTCGAGTTCTTCTAAAGCGATTTTAAAAAATCAAACAGCTTTTGATTCAGCGTCATCATGCCTATAAGTGGAACCTCAAAAACTGGAAAATTTCCAATTGAACCCCTTGATGCAAGAACCAGACATAGACCATTGAAATTAAATGGGCTGCGTCTGGTTCTTGCATCAAGGGGTTCAATTCCTTTTTTTTTATAAGAGAAATTCTGAATAAAAACACCTTTTTCTTGCATATTTTGGGGAAAAAGTACTCTAAAAAAAGGGGGGGAAAGAAAACTCCACTCTTTTGAGGTTCCACACCTAAAGAAATATCTAAAGGAGAGTTCAGAATAGAGTCGACGTCGGTATAAACGCGTTGATACTTACGCGTCGTCCTATGTATTCCATATGGAGATCACGTGACCAACGCGTTTCTACCGACGTTCACAAACCCTACTTCTGGACTCTCCTTAACGAAGAGAATGTCACTTCGTTTTTGGTTTTATCTATTTTAGAAAGTTTAGAATCGATCTTACCACCGAAAATGGGCAATTTCAAAAATGGCGTACACTACCGTCCACGAGTATCAGGACGATTACACGCGACTCTATAAAAAAAACATGCTTTCACTTTTTTAATCATATCTCGTAAATAAAAGGAGATACAAAAAAAACTTAAATACGGTTAGAAAGCTGATTAAATTTTGCGTAAAATAAGACGTCTTTGAAGTCAATTCGTTAACTATTTTTTGAGTTGTAGAGTGAGAAAGAAATTTAAAAAATTATCAAATTTTCTCATTTTGGTCTCTTGACTTCAACTTTATCAAAAATCTAGAAAAATTTGGACAAAATTTTTCTAAAAACACAGAAATCTTCGTTAGAATTTCATCTTTAGAATAATCCTTTGAAAATTAAAAAAGATTAATCCGTCTTTGATATATCATTAAAAATGTGAAGCCGTGTTTCGACCGATTCGTGCATTGAAATTCAACTGTGACGACTCGATTCTAGCTTCGCGTGGCTGCGAATATGAGAGAAAACAGAGACGGATTTATGCTGGGGAATAATAAATAATGATGTTTCACGAGTAATACAAAGAAACTCGAAAGTTCATCGTTCTCCCGCATGAAGTCGTCCCTGCTTTCTCTCTTATTTGAAACCGAGCGAAGACAGAATCGAGTTGTCAGAGTTTAATTCCAATGCACCAATCGTCGAAACTCGGCTTCACATTTTTAATGATATATCAAAGACGGATTAACCTTTTTTAATTTTCGAAGGCTTATTTTAAAGCTGAAATTCAAACGAAGATTTCTGTGTTTTTAGAAAAATTTTATCTAAATTTTTCTAGATTTCTGAAAAAGTTGAAGTCAAGAGACAAAAATGAGAAAATTTGATAATTTTTTTTATTTCTTTCTCATTCTACAACTCAAAAAATAGTTAACGAATTGACTTCAAACACGTCTTATTTTACAAAAAATTTAAACAGCTTTCTAACCGATTTTAAGTTCTTTTTGTATCTCCTTTTATTTACGAGATATGATTGAGAAAGTGATAGCATGTTTTTTCATAGAGTCGCGTGTAATCGTCCTGATACTCGTGGACGGTAGTGTATATCGCCGCCATTCTGAAATAAATTATTTATTACATGTAAAAGAAATTTTTTAAATAAATGTCATAGTTATTTTAATTATATATATACTAAAAAAGCCTTCTTTTTGCCTATTTTGAACTGGAATGTCTCCTTAATTTGAAACTCATTTTTAATAAATTGCAGCAAGCTTGATGCATGCTTCTAACAACCTTGCAACACACTTGCAGTAACATTTCTTATAAGCATGTAAAAAAGTTTCATGGCAAGTTTGCAGAAACCTTGCGTAGTAAGCATGCAGCAATGTTTCATGGTAAGATTGCAGGAACCTTTCACAGAAAAATTACAACAATCTTTTATGGAAAGTAAAATATACAGTGAACATTTTGCTATCTCAGACAAGCTTGCGGTAATCTTGCGCTGTAAGCTTGGCAAGATGTATGGAAAGCTTGCCGCAAGCTTACGTGTTATCTGGGTAATATTTACTTACTTGGATTTTCAATATTAAAAATGCATGGCGATTTCTGGCGTCCTACACTGTTACTAGCCCAACAAGCAAGAGTTTCAAAATCACTGTTGGTGTCTAGTTTAAAATTTATCGTACTTATAGTCTTGTTTTTATGCATTACACGAGAAATCCTGACAGGCAAAATGTCTCCTCTTGTGTTGTTGTGAGTCCAAGCAAATTTAATGTCATCTGTAGGATCAGCTTCCACTTCACAACGAAGATTGGTATGTTGTCCAGGTATTGCAGTAATATTTAATATCTCAAAGCCCTTTTTACATCTTGGTGCATCTATAAGAATGTATTACTCACATATATGTATACATAGCCTGAATGCAGAATATTTTTATTCTTTGGTGGTTAATAATAAAAGAAAACAATTTTTTGAGGTTCAAATTTCAAGAACATTGAATTAAAATGAAATAAATAAACAAATAAATATATTAATTAATGTAAGTAATTAACTATTAATCATTAATTATATTGAATCAATTAACAACGTTTAATTTTGTGTATCAAAGTAGCTGTTCTTTATCAGTTTATAACCATAATTGGCAAATAATATGCGAGAGGAAAATACTTTAAAGTGAAGACTATTACTTTTGATACAATATATAAGATGGAAATCTTTTGACGTTTTATTGAATACTTTTCAGCAATATTAACCAAAGCTATTAAAATTTTAAAATATCAAAATTTTGAAAGAGTTACATTTTTGATTTTTGGTAATAAATTGGCACTTCATTGTTTTTCTTTTTCTTTGACTTTTTGTAATGCTTTTCTTAAACGCATCTTTTGGTCCCTTTTGAAAATTCTTTCTACATGTTAGCCAAAGTTCGATTAGACATATTAAATGTTACGGCCGAACTCCGTAACTTTTCATATTGTTAATACCATTTTTAATTATATTTAAACTAAAATTACATGCAACAATTACACGCACCATGAGATTTTGTTAAACATCACAAAAACATTTACACAAAAAACAACCCTTTGTAATTTCACAAAAGGGACATTCTTCTTTTTGAATATCTTAATCCAAAATATTTTAATCGGATAAAGATCTAATTCTATATAAATAATATAGATTTAATGGAATTTAACATTCCTTTCAGTTTCACAATTTCGAGGTGAAAAACCTAAGAATATAATACGGTATTTCTTAATAAATTCCTTTTCTTGGACAAACAGTTTGTTGGCCCTTTTGAGGAATAGTTAGAAAATATGAAAAGTAAATTGCTCAATATGAGGAGTGGTGGATCTAAGTCACTGAACTCGGATCACGCCACTGCCTAAATCTGCAAGCTTGCAGAATTGGCTTAACAACAGTCACGTGCAATAAACTTAACATACGATTTCCCCACTAAATCGTCTTTCAATAAAATTGATTTATAAGTGTATTAATAAATAAAAGTTTTCGTTATTTATTATTACATTTTCTTTTTGTTATATTCTTACAGTTGGTGAACGTACGTTTTATATATTTTTTAGAATAGTTTTTAGTACAGAAAAATTGTTCCAAGTTTTTTGAATTTTATTATAAAAAGGCATATGTTATAAAATGTTTTTCCCTTATTATTTATTTATTTATAATGACAGAAACAAGTCCTTTGACTTAAGATTTATCATATGATTAAATAAAACAATGAAACATTCAAACTTTTATAAAATAAAATTTTTACTTTTATAAAGTTAGGACTTTAAAAACATTATAGAATGAGAATTATAATACTGCTTTTTAGAATATATTACGATTCAATTTTCTTCCATTTAAAGGCAAAACAATCTCGCATGTTGTACATGTATTGGCCGAATTATATTTAAAAATGATGTTTACGTGCAAGTAATTTAAAACATTATTTGCACAAGACTATATCACCACACCACCATCTTCACTTATGAACCCATAACGATTCAGTGGTAATTTTTGGATTTAATAAGGTTTAAGTAAGTGTGGGGCATAACATGCCCAACCACATATTCGCCGGGTTGAAAACACTATTCGTTTTATGATCAATCACGAAAATCTCTCCAAGGACCTTAGCCTCAATTTTTGACAAGGACAACAAACTTAAATTAAATTTACTCAGAACATCGCGTCCTGAAATTACAGAAACTTGTATTGTTTTATCTGGCACTACATAAACATTAATTTTACATTCAATATTATTAAATCTTACCTTTGCTGTTACAAATCCTACTAATACGCTGATATTAATTCCAGTGTAATCCTGAAGCAAATAAGAAGGACATGGCGGCAAACTCTTCGTTGGTACTTGACTCTCCTTAATGAAGCTGATAGGACTTCCGGTATCCAAAAGTGTGTCTAAAGATAAAACACGAGCCTCCTTTCGGATGTCAATCTCATATGCAATCATCTCGAAACACTGCTTTTTCAAGATGTTCTCCGAGTCAAGGTCATTATGTATATCCATTGACACATGTTCCTGAGACGTCAAATTGTTCCAGTCTTACCTCACCTGTTAATTGGGCAATATGAGAATTTGTACATTTGCCATTTGCATCACCGGTCACGTTTATGCTGAGAAGGGATTCATCGCTTATTTGATATTTATGGTAACTGTATGTATGATTGCAAATTTTTTTCGTAAACTCACGTCTCTAATTTGCTTTTCTTTTATCAGCGATTTATTTATTTATTTTTTCAAAATTTTATTTAACGTAAATTTTAGACAATTTTTTTCTCTCTTCTCGCAATTTTCGTTACATCGTTTTTCGATTCGAATTTAATTTGTGAAATTGTGTATGATCTTCAATTTGGATTGTTTATTTGTTGTGATGTAACAACCTTTGACTGTCTTCAGGGTTAATCGTTTTAATTTGATCAAAAATACGTCTGTTTTGAATACGTGTTTATTTTCAAAATTTAATTTGGAATTCTTTTGTCAATAAGACTTTCTTTTCGTTATCGATTTTAAATTTATTGTAAATTTTTTTTTCTTTTTTTTATATAATAATTTTCTTTTGTGAATTTATTTGAATTTAACCATCAATCTTTTCTTGTGTTGGTGCGCGATTTGGTTTTTCTTTTTATTCTCTTGAGTTTGATTTTCGCGTAATTTTTTTTCTTTGCTTTTACACAATGACTGACGACGATTCAAAGTTTGAGGGCGAACTCGCCCAAGGCAATGAGCGTTTCAAGGCATTACAGCAACAGATCAATAGAGTTTCAGAGAATTTTAAAAACTTACGGGAGGGGTCTCGCGTCGATGCTTATCGAAATCCCAAGCTTCCCCGTTTTATCTTTAACGACCCAGAATTTTGGTTCATGCAGATTGAGTCAGTTTTTTATAATTATCGAATCACAGTTGAATCTACAAAAGCTAACCATGTCATAGCTGAACTTGATCTAGAAATTTTTGTGTGTGCTCGGTACATTGTTTTGATTCGTCCAGTTCCTACCTATATTTTTAAGCAGCTCAAGAAGAGAATTGTTTCGACCTATTCCGTTTCTGCAGAGTCTCGATTGCGACAGCTTCTCAAGGGAGACTTTTCTACTGATGGCAAGCCATCTTTGCTTTTGACACGATTACGCGGTTTGGGTGATGCGAGTTGTAATGAGGAAATTATATAGTCGATCTTTCTTGATCGAATGCCTTCTGCAACGCGTGCTATTTTGTCTGTTTCGATGGTTACCAATCTTACAGAATTGGCTGAACTTGCTGATAGGGTTTATGAGGCAACTCGTGCTTCGGGTTCCATTTCTGCCGTTGATTCGTCATCGATTTTTCCAACTAAATCAAGTCCTGATGTGTTGTCAACTATTTTAAATCAGATTATTGACCTTCATACTCGAATTGAAGCCTTGAGCGTTGAGCCAATGCAGGTTGAGGGAAGTCGTTCTCGATCTAAAACTAGAAAAAATAATAATAGAAATCGTTCAGCATCTCATGATTCAAAACCCAATTGTTGGTATCATCATAAGTATGGTGATAAAGCCACTAAATGTAAAGAACCTTGTTCTTTTTATAAAAATTCGAATTTGAGAAAATCGTCGGAAAACTAGATACGCCTTTTCGTCTGGAGACCGCTGGTCTGGGCGTATCTTTTAAACGTCTCCACATCCGTGATCGTAAGTCTGGATTGCATTTCTTGATCGACACTGGTGCAGATATTTCGCTCCTTACAGTTTGGCCAAACTCTAGGCTCAAACCATCTGAAACATTTCTTTTTGCTGCCAATAACTCTAGAATATTGACTTATGGTGAGCAGCGTATGTCGTTTGGATCTTGGACTTAGACGAAATATTAGTTAGAATTTTTGTTTAGCTGCCGGCCCATATCCGATCATTGGAGCAGACTTATTGGCCCATCATCATCTTACAGTGGATCTTGGTCAGCGCAGATTAGTGGACTCTACCACGGATTTACAAAGCAATTTCGAGATTCGAAAGGTTTTCTTGTGCAGCATATCCACCATCGATCATCAGGCTCCTTTTGCGGAGAGTTTGGCAAGGTATCCGGAGATCACTGGTTCATCGCAGGGTATTCTCGATTCCACTCGGGACGTTTTCCATCACATCATCACTCATGGTCCTCCATTGGCTGAACGTGCTCGTCGACTTTCACCTGAAAAGTTTAAAGCTGCAAAGGCTCAGTTTAAAACCTGGATGGAACTGGGAATTTGACAACCGTCTAGTGCTTCTTGAGCTGCTCCACTCAATATGGTCTTAAAGAAGGATGATCAGTGGCGACCGTGCGGTGACTATCGTAGGCTCAATTCCGTGACGGAGCCGGATCGTTATCCGGTCCCTCATTTGCACGATTTTTCTGCTCAGCTCGCTGGTAAAGTCAGTCATCAGTAAACTCGATTTACATATGGCCTACAACCAGATCCCAATCGCTCCAGAAGATGTCCCAAAGACGGCTATTATCACGACGTTTGAACTCTTCGAGTTCACTATGATGACATTTGGCTTAAGGAATGCTAGTCAGACTTTTTAGCGATACATATCTCAAGCTCTTGGGGACTGAGATTATGTATACGTATACATAGACGATATTCTCATTGCCTCAACTAATTTTGTTGAGCATGAGAATCATCTCGATGAAGATTTTCGTCGACTTAAACATTTCGGCTTACGCGTAAATGTCAGCAAGTGTCAATTCGGACAGAGCGAATTGGAGTTTTTGGGCCATGTTGTTAGTCATCGAGGTTTTCGACCTACGTCTGAAAAAGTGGAAGCTATTAAATCTTATCCGAGACCAAAAACCATTACCGAACAACGTCGCTTTTTGGGTTTCCCTAATTTTTATCGTCGAAGTATTCATCATGCGGCTCACACTTTGGCACCTCTTAATGATTTGCTTGTCGGATCTAAGAAGAAGAATGATAAAACACCGTTGATTTGGACGCTTGAGGCTGATGCTGCTTTTGAGCAGATCAGGGACGTTGTAGCTAGGGCTGTACTTCTTTTTCATCCGGAGCCTAATGCTGACACTCGATTGATTACCGATGCTTCTGATTTTGGGATGGATACTGCCTTGGAGCAGTTCGTCTCGGAATCTTGAAGACCTTTGGCATTTTTTTCCAGAATTTTTGAGTCGATTAAACATTTTCGTCATTTTCTCGAGGGTCGTAACTTTCATATAGTTACTGATCATAAGCCACTCATTTTTGCTTATAAACAGCAGTCAGGAAAAGCATCTCCTCGTCAACAACGTCAACTTTCTTATATCTCTGAGTTTTCAACATCCATTGAGCATTGTCACGGATCGGACAAAGTTATCGCTGATGCGTTGTCAAGGATCGAGTCCATTGGTTTTGCTCCTGAGATCAGTTTATCCGAACTTGCTGCTGCCCAGGTTTCGGATGAGGGTTTGCGTTTTGGATCGTACCATCCGGAAGAAGTATGTTTGGCCAGAGATGCATAGACAGATTGCTCAGTTTTGCAGGAGTTGTATTGTTTGTCAAAGGGCAAAGGTGTCTAGGCACAACGTCTTGTAACCAGCTCAGTTCGTGGCTCCGAAATCCCGATTTGATCATGTCCACATGGACATAGTGGGTTCATTACCCGTGGATCATGAGTTTCGTTATTGCCTGACGATGATTGATCGTTTCTCTAGATAGCCTGAGGCCGTTCCCATCAAAAATATTGAGGCTGTTACCATCGCACACGCATTCACGAGTACCTGGATTTCGAGATTTGAAACGCCCCCAACGGTGACGACCGATCAGGGCACCCAATTCGAATCCAGGCTATTCACTGGCCTGCTTCAATTTTCCGGATGTCGCAGAGTTCGTCCCTCCGCTTACCATCCCGCATTCAACGGTATAGTGGAGCGTTGGCACAGATCTCTGAAGGCATCCATAATGTGCCATTCCTCATCTAGATGGACCACAGTTTTACCTGCTGACCTTTTGGGACTACGAACATCAGTCATGAACTGTGGGGCCTCTCCTGCTGAGTATGTTTTTGGGAGGGTGTTGCGTATTCCGGGCGAGTTCGTTCTCCCGGATAATTTTGCTTCAGATCCGTATTCATTTCTTAACGAATTCAAGACCCACATGCGCGAGGTCACTACAAGCGCAAGATTTTTGTTTACAAGGACATGTCAACTTGTTCACATGTTTTCGTTAGACTGGTTCGAGCTCTTAAGAAGCCTCTTCAATTTCCTTACGCCGGACCTTATCGAGTTGTTAATTGCACGTCTGAACGCGTCTTTGAGATTGATGTTGATGGCTCATTGAAGCAAATATCAGTCGAGAACCTCAAGCCAGCATATTCTGTCGTTGACTCGTCGGAAATTATTGAATCGGATTTGCCATCAACAATACCTGTTAATCTAAATTTTAATAAAAACAATTCTTCGGAAGCTGTTGACTCGGGTTTGTTGTCGTCAATTCCTGCTAACATTGAATCTAATAAAAATTATTTACTGTGTTCTCTGGAATTTTCAAAAAGTGAATTCGGCGATCCGTCGAAGGTCTCGAGACGTGAGGGGCGGGTTGAGTCGCGGGGACAGTCAGAGGTTGCAACAAAATTCGAATTACCTAATGTTAATATACCTACGTCAATTCAATGTAAACCAAAAAAATTCATTCCTAACATCCTAAGAAGGAAGGTAACTTTTAAGAATTAAATCTACCTTATTTTTGTTTCATTTTCTTTTTATTTTTACCAAAGTATTTATCAAGATGTAAATAACAAGACTGATTTTCGAAACAAACTACGTTATATACTTATATACTTAGGATGTAATATTTTTATACAAGTACCAAATTTTTTTTTTACGTAAAATTATTATTTACTTTATTTCTTTTTTTTGTATCATTATCAGTAAGAGGGGAGTGTGTGGCGGTCGGCTTAAGGTCTGACATTTGTACTATAGAACTTGCCTTTAAGTTCTCCCCACTTCGAGAGTGATTCAAGAATTGAATGAATGGAAGTGTGAGTGACGTTACTTGAGTTCGAGACTCTCAATCATCGACATGTTTGTTGAATTCTTTTTATAAAAACTGTTGTGAGAATAATTTTTGTTTCAAGTTACACTGAAAGAATTTTAGGCAGGCTGCTGGCTTTTCATGTCCGAAATTAGTGCCCCTTGCACAGGGCTCTCAGCTCACCTCAAAAAAGCGAGCATCTACTCCCGAAAGGTGAGCAGCTGCCCCTAAGGAGTTGCTGCTTACCTTTCGGGAGTAGATTCTCGCCTTTTTGAGGTTAACTGCGAGCTTGAGGCAGCGAGCTCTAGCGGCACTCATGTAAAGCCTGCAGCCTGCCCAAAATTCTTTTAGTGTACAAGAATAAATTTCTGTTGTCAAATGTTAATTTTGTGGTTAATTATTTGGTTAAATGGGAAACGACCTTTAATTGGCAATTTAATTGTCAATTTCCCACAAAACTATCATTACTTCGATTTTTTATATACTTTTTAAGATAAATTTTTAATACTACATATATTTTCTTTAATTATTTAATGTTGAATATAACTATCAAATTATCACAAATTATCTGGAATCACAGAAACATCGCTAGTGTAGAAAAAGTTCTTTGAATCTTGTGTTGCTACATCTAAAACGATTTTTTCCTTGATTTCATAGCGGCAAAATCGTCAATAGTTTTTGTAAAATGAATATGAGTGGATAATAAAGCATATATGTTTGCGCTTGCGCAAAATATGACTGGAATTGTAGTAAGGCGAAAACACAGCTCGTTGCCTGCTTGCAAGTGGATGGGACAAGGCGCACATATGAGAGAGCGATGAGAAAAATTTGAATTTTTTATCTCGCCTACTCTTATGCGTGTTCCTTATGCTATCTGCCCGCAGAAAAACAAGCAGTAGAGTTGTGTTTGCGCTTTTACATTGCCAAAGTTGTTTGGATTCTTTATTTTATTTTTAACAAAATTGTAAAACTAAAAAATGAAGTTTTCATGTCGATTCTATAAAGACTTCATTTGGCATCAAAGGCCCCGGTGCACCGCACCGCCTGCAACTACGTCGTTACGGCCCTAATTATAATTAAATTCAATTTAACTGTTGGGTTATATTTTAACGAACATGTGCTTTTTATTCTTTAAATAAAAACTCCGAATTAATAACAAAATAATAGAATTTATTTGTAACTTCAATAAACAATAAAGTTAACAATTTAATTTGTTGAAGAACTAATTTCGGATTATTAATATTAATTCCGATAATTACAGATATAAAATTCTCGTTATATTCGAATCAAGAAAACGTGGTAAACCGTACAAGGAAATCACACGAGGGAATCTAAAAATCTTTGTCATGCGCGATTGTCGTAGCAACGCACGACTTCACGAATACAAATATATATATGAAGTGGGGAAAAAAATATGTGTGTGCGTGTGTAAATGAAATTAAATATAGGTCCACTTGTAAGACGAAAGGTGTCTCGTAATGTACCGAAAAATCATATTCGATGATAAGACATTCGAATACACCACATAAGATTTTAAGGAAATATAAATTTGTTATTTTCAAAAAAATAGTTTATAAAATTTAATTTTAAGTTTAAAATGTATTAGAGTAGGAAAAAAACATTTAGAAGAACCTATAGAATCAACACAAAAAGACGAAAAATTTAGCGTTGGCTGCCTAACCGCACGAGTACTTTTTGAAGAAAACATTCACAAAACCCGTAATATTAAAAATATCGCAATTCCATTAACACCATCGTCTTTAGCACGAAATTCTGCATTGAAAATCACTTTATAAGAATTTAATTTGTGTAACTCTATTAACTGAAAACACAAAAATAACCCTCTAAAAAGTTACATCCAAAAAGTCTGTTTTCATAAATGATACAATAATGCCCACCTGTTAGCGACTAAGGTAAACACCATAAGCACTAGCCTGGCCGCGATTTGTTAAGATATTTTTTAATCTGGCGATATCAATGAGCGCCGGGCAGAAAAAGTTTCCTTTTTATCTAGAGAAATAAATATAAAAATAATAAAGTCGATCTGTAAATAATTAATGGACCCAAAAAACGTATTAATATTGTAGAAAAAGAGATTTTATTGCAATTTTGCAGTTTTTTAAATGTTTTTACAATATAAATTGCGGCTATAATATAATACACTAATATTTATATGTAATTGTATATTTATCGTTTGAATTAAAACGAGAAACAAATTACAGCGCTTAAGATTGTTCAGTCAATGACGATTTTGTATGTGACGGATATTTTTTCCGATATAAGTCTACAACTTGCAGTATGAACTGAGCCTCTTCTTCGTCGCGTGTTAAAATACGATTGTAATCTTTCATAAATTTAACGCCACGTTCTGCAGCATCATTAACTACGAATAAATTTTGGAAGAATTCCAAAGCAGTTTGATATTCTTCATTATCTTTTCATAACGATGGGTCCAGTTTGAAAAATTCAGTTTGAATTTCAAAATTGGAGAAGAGAAGTTTTATTTTGTGCGAAACAAAATCAGATAAATCGCAAGTCAACAAATGTTGCACATTTGGAAACGTTCGGTGTTTGATCAAAACCACTGTAGGATTCTTTGCTTTCAGACGATTAACCATTTTTCTTTTGATATCAAATGAAACATTTGGATCAAAAAATGCCAGTCCCACTGTTTCTGGAGTCAAATACCACAAGTGATTCTTAAACTTCTCAATTACCGATTGAGACACAACTTTATCGATTTTGGAAAAGTCGAAAGATTCGTGCAAAAAATTCAAATCTTGATTAGGACATTCAATGGGATTCGTGCATCCATACCAGGCCTTGATGTAAAGTTTAACTACAAAAATTGAGATGTCTCGAATACAATTAAGTTCTCTTGCAGTCAAATCAAATTGGTCACGAAATAGAAAAATTTTCAGACAGTAAATTGCCTTTGACATAAATCTTGCGTGAGATGTTGCACCACATGTTCGAAATGGACCGACATTTTCACCAAGGAATGTGATCGTAAGCTCCAAGAGTTCCTTATAATCACCGCGGATTTGACTTTTTTGCAGCTGATTTCGGCAAAACTGTTTTATTTCTGCACATTCATCGTCGGAAATTTTTGAGGTAACAATTTGATCATCAATACCGTAATTGAATTGACCTTGTTCCATATTATGCCACATGTCAGCAAATCGATTGAAAATTAAAGTTTCAGGTGCATTGCTTTTACCATACTTTTTTTCAAAAACATCTTTAAGTAAAATCTCACAGATGTGATGGCGGCATGCAAAACTTGCAGCCACAACATTTTCAGAAATTTCCCATTCCACTAGAGTATTGTAAACGGCTTGAGCGATATTCTCACCGGTACCCGATTCAATTTTGGGAGCACCCAAAAATTTAGACGTTCCATTGTAGCTAACAATAACTGCTATTCGATCCACACTGAATCTACCGACTAAATCGGCCAAAATTTTTCCATCCCAGTGAACCACCAAACGATTGTTGTTACTTAACTAATTCATGAAAAAAAGACAAAAATAAATTAACTTAATTACACAGTATACTTTATACGATATACATGTACGTGTGATACGTACGTTGTCAATGAACTCAGATTTTGCTTCACCATACTGATAGTGTCGATTTGTTTCACGTAATTGCTGCAAAGAAGTTCGATTCAGGACTAAATTTTCAGAGGGAATCTCTAAAGCATCTACCGTTGCCATCAAAATATGCATTGCCAGTCTGTCCGATACCTAAACACAAAAAAGGAAAAGAATTAGAAAATAATTCTTGCCATTAATGATCTCAATGTTTCTTTCTTATCGTTTTCACCTTCGCTTTATCAAGAGCAGAGCATAATCAAAGTAAAAAAAAGATAAAAATAATTATTATATAATTCACAATTTACAACTAAGCACCACTAACAATAAAATTACTCACCAGAATGTTCCAATTTCGATATTTCTTCATTTCTTAATTTCCGAGCATTTTCCTTTTCTTTCCTCAAATTAGATCTTTTTTCTTTGGATGCTAATTTCACATCAATTCCCAACATTGAACCAAGCCGTCCCTTCTGTCGCTGTTTTTCCAAGAATTCTTTGTCCTCTATATTTTTCATCGTAGTCAATGCATCGGCAGTAGCAATATCAAAAAGATCGTCTAACATACTTATGAAAATATCACATTTTTTCTTCATTCCGAGCGCCATTTTTTCAACCTTTACTTTATTTAAAATTTTCCATTCTTCGTACATTTTAAGAAGCTTGCCAGCACATTTATGGGATTCACGAGTTGGTATACGCGCTTGTTGCCAATATATCAAAACAGCATTAATCGTTAGACTTGCATTTTCTTTTGAGGTTAATTTCACAAAACGCACATTATAGAAAAATACTTCTAAAACTTGTCTATTTGACGGCAACTTCGCTCCCACAATTTGATGTGATACATGTCCAATCAAAGCAATTTGTCGTTGCTTTTCGTCAAATTTACGTGTTTTTATCGATGAAACAGACGAATCCAATACATTCGCCATTTTAAAAGTAAACTAACATATATATTAAATAGTTTATATTTACTACAATTGGAATAAAAATGCAAAGTTTGTCACGAGGTTGCTTAGTTCTATTTCGTAGATGCTAAAGATTATATACCATGATGTTTTAATGCTGTCCTTCCTGTGTTGACGGCGTTTCAAAAAATCATGACGTATCTATCAAAATTTTTTTAGTTCGTGACATATAAGTTCGTTCATACGTCATGAACTAACAGCAAAACCGGAAAGACATAATAAAAGCATCAGGCTGTACAGGGTTGGGTACGTAATATACCTCAAGTAAATTACATGAGTATTTTACGTATATTACGTGTGTAAAGTACCTCAAAAATTTCAAACGTAATACATTTTTTATGGTGGCGGGTAAAATACGTATTTTACATATGCAAAATACTCATATAAATCTATTTTTGGTATAACTACACAAAATATATATTTTCTATAAAGAAACATTGAAAAAAGTGCAAAATTTCAATAAAATCTCTTTTTCTACAATATTAATACGTTTTTTGGGTCCATTAATTATTCACAGATCGACTTTATTATTTTTGTATTCGTTTTTTTAGGTGAAAAGGAAACTTTTTCAGCCCGGCGCTCATTGATATTAAATAATTTTTAAAAAATGGCCAGGCTAATAAGCACTCTACATTATCAACAGCGCACGATTTGAAAAAATGATACAGAAATAAGAAGCAATTGGCTGTCTCACCCCGTCGTTCTACTCTATATATATTATATAGAGTATATATTAGGGTGGTTCTTATTTAGGCGATGTTTCCAAATCTTCAGTCTCACCCCAAAAAATTAATCAAGGTATAAAAAAAAATTTTCCTGAAAGTTTGAAGCAAATCGATCAATATTAACACGTGCTTCTAGTCGACTGAAATTTTAAATGGAAAATACATGCAATTTTTCCTAGAAAACACAAAAGAAAATTTCTAGCTTATACAAATTTATTTAAAATTATCTAACTTGGGTTCTTTTAGTACATAATAAGAGGTAAAACTTTTAATTTTTTCAAATTTTTTTGGTAGTATTTTCTTCATTTACAAGCTTGATGAATGTGCCGCTATCACAGTAAACAGGACCATATATTAACCCTTAGATGCATACATTTATTTATTCATTTAAATTTGACGAAATTCGGTACTCGGGGGGTTTATCGGGTCACTGATTACGAAACAAAGGTCATTCTAAAAAAATTAAAAATGGCGGATCCAATATGGCGGACATAAAAAATTAAAAGTCGTTAAATTGAACTGAAACTCGGTACTCGGAGGATCTAGGGGTCGCTGATTACGAATCATTTTAAAAAAGATTATTTTGAAAAAATTCGAAATGTCGGAGCCGAAATCGCGGATATACTTACTCGTTATTTGCGTTTCTAAGATTTTAAATCAATAATTTTGCAATGCCATAGAAGGCTGAGCATCTCTGCCTTTCAGAAGACAGAAAATATTTTCTGGAATTTCATATAAATAGTTAATATGTGCCAAAGAAAACACACTACAAACAAATAAAAAAGCAAAAAAACTAAAAAAAAAAAAAATTAAAAACAAAAAAATTAGCTCCGCCAATTCGAATTTTTTTAAATTGATCTTTTTCAAAATGATTCGTAATCAGCGACGCCAAGAACCTTCGAGTACCGAGTTCCACCATTTGGAATTTTTTAAAACTAACCTCGGATTCGTAATCAGCGACCCCAGAAACGCCCGAGTACCGAGTTTCAGTCCAATTGAACGATTTTTTATTTTTATGTCCGCCATATTGGATCCGCCATTTTGAATATTTTCAAAATGACCTCCGATTCGTAATCAGCGACCCAACAAACCCCCCGAGTACCGAGTTTACCGTCTGTCATATAACGCATATAACCTACTTTTGAGGTTATGTTTACCCTTTGTCCTTTGACCTAATTTGGAGGTTATGTGTGCCATCTGTTCTTTGACCTAATATTGAGGATATATTTGCTCTCTAACCCATCATTCTGACCTAATTTTGAGGTAATGTTTGCATTTTGACCTATCATTCTGACCTTATTTTGAGGTTTTGTTTGCTATCTTCTCTATCATTTTGACTTAATTTTGAGGTTATTATTCCCCTGTGACCTATGATCTGTGACCTAATTTTGGGGTTATGTTCGCCCTTTGTCTTCTGAAGTTGGCTACAGATGACCTTGAGACCTTCTTTTGAAGTTGAACGCATATGACCTTGAATGACCTTGGGCCCTCAAAACTTTCTGAAACAGCGGCGGCAGCAAAATGATTTTATATTAATAGGGACATATCTTTATGTTATTTGACCTCAGGAGTTCAAAAATGACATTTTTAAAAATGTCATTCCGTATGTATGTGTGTGTGTAACATCACATTTTCATAAATATCTCGAAATCATGAAGAGCTTTTGAGTTAAATTTTTTTAAATTGTAGATCTCACCTCCGGACGTCAAATGAGTTTTTTTGAGATACATCAATAATATTTAACTAAATTTTTTTTGGATTTTTAATTTTTCAGAAAAACTTTTTTTGCCCATAACTTTAAAAAATGTTAGGACATCTATAAATGTTTTCCCATAATTTTGTAGACTTTTTTAGACGCATCTTTTAAGATCTAATTGAACATTTTTCGTCCATATTAACCGGAGATATTAAACTTTTAAAAATCAAAAATTTTGGAAAATAAGACTTTTTTAAAAGTTTTGTTGAAACATATAGAAATACACTACCGTCAAGAATTATCGGTACGGCTGC